CTCCCAGGTCGCAGTTCATCAGGGAGCCCAAGGTAGGAACTCAGGGCAGGAACCTGGAGGCAGGAGCTGGAGCATAGACCATGGAGGAACACTGCTTTCTGGCTTGCTCCCCTGGCCCCTGCTCAGCTTGCTCTCTTATCCAACACAGCCCCACCTGCCCAGGGGTGGCACTACCCCTCCCACATCACTCAACAATCAAGAAGATACCCCACAGACATGGCCACAGGTCAGTCCAATGGAGTCAATTCCCCAATTGAGGCTCCCTCAACCCAGGTGTGTCAGGTTGACACTAAAGCCATCCAGCACAGCCAGCAGAGTACAAAAAATTTAAAATAGCAGTCATCCCAGGCGTAAAATCATGGGAATACCCATGTCAACACAAAAAACCTGCACATGGATATTTATAGTGGCTTTATTTATACATGCCAAACCTGAAAGGAGGCATGATGTTCTTCAGAGGGTTAATGGATGACAAACTGTGGCACATCCAGACAATGTAATGTTATACGGTATTGAAAAAGCCATAAAAAGAGGAAGAGGTATTTTTTGTTTGGGGCCGTGTTAAAGGTCAAACCCAGGCCCTCACTTAATGCTAGGCAAGTACTCTACCACCAAACTACATCCCCAGCCCATACATTTAGTTTTAAGGAGTAATATGTTTGACTCAAATAGTTTGTTAAATATTAAAACTTTATTAAACAGTAACACCCACACAAATGCAATTCCATTGGATGCTAACCCTGCTTGCTGAGTTTTAGATGTACCAACATTATGCTATAAACATCACATGGAAAACATGCAATGAATTGTTCAGATTTAACCTGTATAATGCCATATGCCAATCAAAATAAAATGAGCAATAAATATTACTTAGTATAAAGTTTATTCACACATATAAAAAGTAAATGTAACAGAACAGTCATTAAAATAAAATAATTATGCTTTAGGAAAGCTATACATTAAAAAAAACGGATTACTCTTTCTAGATAATACAAATACTGATGTGTTCATACTAGATTAAACTAAACTGTTAAGGAAACATTTTTAAACAAGAAAACATGGAAGAAACACAGTTCAGACGACTGAAGGCATCAACATATGGCATGCATGTTCCTTTTTTAAAAAATGTTTCTTTAAAGAAATTTTAAAATTGAATTTATTTATTTTGTGGGGGTAGATTAGATGGTGGGTATACACAATGCACCACACAAATGTGGAGGTCAGAGTACAACTTTCAGGAGCTTGTTTTCTCCTACCACATGGGGCCCAGGGATTGAACTCATAGTCAGTCTTGGCAGGTGACTTTACCCACTGAGCTGGCCCATTATTTTAAATTTTTTAATTTGGTGTTGGAGATCATGAGCTATTCCCTCATCTCAATCTAAGATTGGTTTGTTTGGTTTTAGTTTTTGTTGTTTTGAAAGGACGTCTCATTCCTAAGCCGTTCTGGAGCTCATTCTGTAGCTGGCCTTGAAACTGCATCAGTCCTCCTGCCTCAGTCTCCCAATTTACTGGTATTAGAGATATGAACCAACATGCCCAAGTTCAAATCCAATCTTTAAAAAAAATTACAGAAATATCATAATGTATAATGTCATCTATAACATTACAAATCAAATAATAACTAGTAAAAATTTAATTCATACTCAAAAGAAAAACACAATATGATATTGAACAGGTAAGCATTAGTAAATCTCTTGGCATTAAAATTCTCTTGTGCAAAGCTGGACATGGTGGCACATGCCTTTAATCCCAGCACTTGAGGGGCAGAGGCAGATCCCTGTGAGATTGAGGTCAGCCTGGTCTACATAGTACTTTCTAGGCAAGGATATGGAGTTAAAAGTCTCTTATCAAGCTAATGATGGTCAAGTTCAGGTCTAAGGTGCAAGCAGAATTATAGGGTAGTTTCCTTCTGTGCATATTGCTCCTTTATTCCTTGCAGTTTGTCATCAAAAGCTGGACAGGCACATCGTTTTTGTTTTGGGGAGAACAAATCACCCAAATGACATGAATGCCATATAGCAAGATGGCAAGATGCACTTAGTGAGATGGTAGTGACATAGATTTTTTAAATACCCTAAATCCTTTTGCTGGCCCAGGATATGGTGGTGGTGGCGAAACATTGTGTTTTCTGGTCAATGCTACTGCCTGTTCATAGGAAGGTAGTCCTGTGTCCTCTGAAGATGATGATGGAGACAAGACAGCCTCTTCAGGCCTTCTAAAAATGATGGAAGGTGTGTGCCTATTTCTAGTGTAGACAGCTGAAGAGCTAGAAAGAAAGAAAGAAAGACAATATTTAGGTCTAGAAAAGGTAAACATTTGGGTTAAGATGGTGGCATTAAAAATTCCACTCCACAGGAAGAAACTCAAACTTGGTACTGTAAATCTTGCCAAGAACCCATGGCTGGGGAGCTCACAGGCCCCAGGGGTGAGCCTACTATTATTTTGCTAAATGGACTGCCCTCTAAATTCATATCTTGCTACCCATAGATTAGTGCAGCTCCCTGACCACATCAAAGAAATTTCTTTGTGAAGTAGATAGTGTTTAACTCAGAAACTCACAACTGCTTAAAGTGTAGAGAGTAAGTGTCTATGGTGTACTCAGCCACAAATGGGATATCTATATAACATCCTCTTTCTCCAAGGCTCAGGGATCACTGAGAAAGAGGGGGTGGAAAGATTGTAAGAGCTTAAGAGGTCAGGGAGGATGGGAGCAAAACAGTGTCTTTTGGACATGACAAAACCCCTACACTCATGAACTCACAACAGCTGTGGTTGCTTGCATAAGACTTGTATAAGATCAAGCCAGTCAACATTCCAGCACAGAGTAGGCAGGGGTTCATGAGATCATACCCCTAACTGAGGAGCTATTAATAGTTGATAGCTTCTAGACTCGGTTGACCATGCTCCAGTGGATGGTCTCACACCCATGAGTTTATGGGTAGCACAAATGGTGAATTATTTTTTAAAAAGGAAATGAGCCAGGTGTGGTGGCACATGCCTTTAATCCCAGCACTTGGGAGGCAGAGGCAAGCAGATCTTTTTGAGTTCAAGGCTAGCCTGGTCTATATAGTGAGTTCCAGGCCAGTTGGGGCAACAGGGAGACCCTGTCTCAAAAATACCCCCCCCCCAAAAAAAGGAAATGAAGATGGGGGATCTGGGAAGAATTAAAGGGAGAAGTGGGGGGTGAATATGTATGAATGTGTGAAATTCTTAAAGAATTAATAAAATACTCTATTAAAAATTTCTAGGGGATGGGGCTGGAGAGATGACTCAGTGGTTAAGAGCACTGACCTTGCACAGGACCCGGGTTTGATTCCTAGCACCCACATGGTGGCTACGAACCATCCTTAACTCCAGTTCCAGAGGAATCCAAAGCCCTCTTCTGATCTCCATGGCATTGCACAACACAGATGCACTTACATACACGCAGCCAATACACTCATACACATAAAATAATAAATAAAGCCGGGCATGGTGACACATGCCTTTAATCCCAGCACTTGGGAGGCAGAGGAAGGTGGATCTCTGTGAGTTCAAGGCCAGCCTGGCCTACATAGTGAGTTCCAAGACAGCTGGGGCTACAGGGAGACCCTGCTTCA